TTGGGAAGAGTGGCTGGAGACAGCACTAGCAAGGGTTGAGAACAAGATTATGAAAGATTTCTATGCCCAGAGCATGACCTGAATTTCATTTTTCCCCCCAAGAAAGTGCTTAATTCTAAAAGTTGATTCTAAGACCAGTGTGAAAATGAACTTTGAGGTACCTAGGGGAGGTATGTGGGCGGGACTATTGAGGAGACAGACCCACCCATGTGGTGGTGCACAGCAAGGCCGGGGACAGTGTCAAGTTGACTGCAGACTCCCCCTTGGGTGGGGTCGGCCCAGAATCATCTTACAGAGTAAAAATAAGGCCCCCTTCCCCTAGATCACACCAGAACATGCTCGGCTTGACTGACAGCTCTGTGTTGGCTTCCACTCACCTATCCTGTTGATCAAGCAGCCCTTGCGGACTGCGGTCCCTGCACTCCTTAGACGCTGCCTGAGCTGAGGTATCCCCAAAGCACATGGGTGGACAGACACTGTACAGAGGCCAAGGGGCAGGTGTGCACAGATATGACCACCCTGATATCAAGGATCAACTGTAGAATATGACAAGTAAGGCTGACAAGCGTGACTTCATGATCCTGGGCAAGTTGTTTAGCTGCTTTAAAGAGCTTCAATTTCCTAGTCTGTTACATGGATATTATAAAAGTACCTACCTAATGTGTGCAGAGAGCATCTCTCAGTTTGCACTTAGTGTGCACTCAGTACCCTATCTGTCTCTGTATACTTACCTCATCAGAGGTTGCCTTGCTCCCTTTCTTGGACCTTCCACCTCTCCCTAGTCCTTTGTTCTGAAGAGAAGCCCTTGCTCAGTTCAGGTTAACCAGCTGCAGGAGAGCAAAGTCCATTGTGAGGGAAAGCAGATGGCCTCTGAATGACAGAGACCACGCCCTGTACATGGACTTCCTGTTTATTGTCTCCCTGTACCCCCTAACCTCTTTTTTCTTTTATCACAATTCTTTGGGTCCTAAAACCCACTAAGATAGAGATCTGAGATAGTCTATTCTGTCTTCTTTAGGGACAGCTTTAAATAAAACTGTTTCCTTCCACCTACTCTGACTCCCAAGTTTTCTGTAGGTCCATCAGCAGTAAGACCTTTGATTCCTTAGGCCTTGGAGAAAGCCTCCAGCCTGGTGGTGTTTCCTGCCCTCCCCCAACCTCCCAACCCTGCTTCTCACCATAGGACTTTCATTCTCCTCAGTCTGCCCTTCCTCTCCCACTCCACCTTACCATACATACTATCCCCTCTGACACTGTTGGCTTTCACTCTTGAAAGAAAGGATTTTTGCCTGGGTACTTTTCCCCTTACCCTCTGGGAGTCTCTGGGCAGCAGTAGTAGTCGGGAGAAGTCCCTCTGGGCAAAGAAACATTCTGCCTCAGTGACCTGTCCATGGGTCTGAGAGGGACAAGGCTTTCTGGAGAACAGCAAGGCGAGGCGAGGAGCAGCTGAGGTAGAGGGAAGGTAAGGGGAGCAGCTGGAGGAACCCATGTTCTAGATCTGTGTATAGAAAGCCAACCTGGGTGAGGGACAAGGCTGGGGTCAGCTGAGGAAGGTAGGTGATTGGCCTGGGCTGTTTTCATCGAATGCTCACTCAAGACACGAACAGCTTATGAGAGTATAAGTAACAGCAACCGTGGAAACCAGCCTGGCACATCTGCATCTCTATGTGGAGATCATCTTCTTCGAGAGGCCTTCCTCAGTAACCCTGTCTCAAACACTGCCAACCACCACACCTCTGGGCCTTCTTCCTCACTCTGCTTTATGCCTCTTTATAGTGTTCAGTGCCATCCAAAATTAAATTATTTGTTGTCAATATCCTGTTTGACAGTACAGTCTAATTTTATGTCAATTTTTAGCATCTAGACTATTGCCTGACACACAGTATGTCCTCAATATAGGAGTAAATTATCTTACTGTTATTAATCAAAGCATACTCTCCTTCCCCTTTCCTCCTGCACAATATGGAGCCCAAGCTACCTTTAATGAATAAGCCAGTCTCCCTCTGCTCTCCTAGGCTCACAGTTCTTTGTTTCTCTCTAGAGGATTTAAAATGGCATTGCAAAGGTCCTCTCCTGGAACCCTGTGGGCTTTGTATCTGGGAAGGGATGCTGTCCTTTGTCCAACTTCAAGGTCAAATACACATTTTGTCCCAGGAAGTGAATGAACAGATCTTGTTTAGATGTGAAGAGGAGGGCTGTGTTGGTCAGTCAGAATTTCAACTCATTGTCTAGGACAAGAGGTTAGAAGCCACATTCATTTCCTCAGTGTAGGAGGAAGGCCAAATTTTCTGTCACTTACTGGAGAGGCACTGTGAAGACTGGAAACTACTGCTTCTCCCCACCGCTTAGAGGTGAGCAGACTACAAACACTGAGTCCCAGACAGCCTGGGTCTTTGTAGGTCAGAGTGACCAGCCATTGTTGTTGTAACCAAGACACTGTCCACATAAAAGTGAACAAAGATGCTGTTCTTTTTCACACCATACATGGGAAGTGCTTTCCTACCAAGCACCTCCAGATAAAGAAGAAATTGGGGTCATGCTTGCTAAGTGTTAGTGAACCTGACTATAGAAATCTGGGGAAAAGCAGAAACACTGTGGACTGTAAGTACATAAACCAAGAATCCACATAGTCATCTTTTTATCTAGAAACCAGAGATTTGGTGTGATATAGTTCACAGTAGTCCATATGCATATGTATACCTAGGAATATGATTATGTTATTTATGGATTCTGCTTATACGGTATTTCATGTTTTATACCAGATAAGGTTTGCATAGATTATACTCTTCCTATTTCAAGGTCGGTCCAGGGATTTTTCTCATTTGCAAGTGTGTCATGTGCTGAGTCAGAGTACTGATTAGATGTTTCAGTGACACACACTTCATGCTTAATGAGAGCCATGAGGAAAGGCTGTCACAGGGATTTTTCAGTATAGCCCAGGCTGGCCTCAAATTCACTAAATAGCAGAGGATGACCTTGAACTCCTGTCTCCCCCTCTCAGCTGTAGCTTACCTTGCTGGGCTTTACACTGTCATTAAGAGAGTCATGTGACTTAATGCAGGCCACTTCTTGGTCTGCAATCACAGTTTCTCCAACTGTGATTTGAAGAAGCCGGGTTAGACAGTTACTAAAGTTTCTTTTAGAGCAAGGAAATTTATGATTCATGAAATGTTTTCATGTAAATACCATGCTGCTCTTCCTCCTGGGAGTGGCATGATCCACGTTTACCAAGGCATCGAATATTCTAGTACATGCATATCTATCCTCTGGCTTTTGTTCTTGTTCAGTTTCACTACTTCTTTTCTAAGGATCTGAGTTCATTAAGACATTTCATGCTCAGCCAGCATGTTCAATTTTTAGACAGATGCTTAAAATAATGGAGAGGACTTTATCTGATACCTTTATTTATATGCAAAACAGCGCACCATTCATGAGATATGAAAAACTGTCAGATAGAAACCAGGTTATCTCTATTTTCACTACAAAATATTGCATTATATAAAGCAACAGAGACACGAAAAAACCCTGAAAAAGACTAAAATCTTTGGATAGCAGATGTGGTTTTTTTCCCCTTATCTCTAAAACACACTTCTTGCTTTCAGAGTTTCACAGCTGAGAACATGGAACATCTTCATGTTACACACTTTTCTTTTTGGTTGTCACAGAGGAAAGTAGCTCTGAATTCTTTTTCATTTTTTTTTAGGAAAATAACTTAATTTCCTAAAATCATCTCACGCACAAACATCACACACACAGCAAGAAGCTACTCTCCTTATAAACGGTTTGTAAAGTACTTCTCAGACATAACTACAGATAAGAATAACAACACTTTTTTATAAAACTATAATAGTGAAGGGCTAGTGTTGCTGATCTCACAACAAAAGAACCTTTCAAGAACAAACATCTTAATATATAAAATATGCTTAGAAACAGGGAGAAGTGGGAAATTTCTTATACAAGTGCAATATAATCAGAGCCCAAAAAGAAAGACCACAAGATAATCTCAACAAACACCTAAAAAGTTAAGACACAATTATTCCACAGGAAAAAAGTGTAAACACTTGACTATAAATAAATTGGCACGAAGTATCCAAAGTAAAATTATCACCACTCTGAAAAATAAATGTCTTGGAAAAAAATACTCTACTCCTTCTAACATAAATAAAAATAGGTTGTCATCTGCTAACTGCACCTATGGGATCACATGTTAAGGTCACAAATAGATGGGGCTTTTTTGGATAAAGGGGCACTTTGCCTGGAAAAAGCAATCTAATATTAAACTTTCCATTTAAATACCGATTTTCCTATCTATCTTAGTGTCCTACCTTGGGGTTAAAATCTCACCAAGCTCAAATCCCCCTGCTGAGTGTCTATTTCTTCTCAATGTGCCGGTTTTAACCTGACCAAATATTCAGGGTTTGTTTTATTTGGATCTGAATATAATCTTTTCATTTGACCACAGAACAAAGTTTCCTGACACACCTTTCTGTGTTGCAATCTCTCTGTATGGAAGAGTTTCATCGTTTCTCCCTCCCCAAGGTTTGATGATTTGTCAAGTAGAAAAATCTCATAGTCAAAGTCTAAAGTCATGAACCTGGACTCTGAGCTTCTGCCCTCGTTCTTTGAAAACATGGAGATTTATGGGTGATAAATAAAGGAGAACTCAAAGCCTCCAGTGAGTTAAAGCAACAACCCTTAAGGGGAATCCTAATACACGGAAGGGAGGCCCGGGTTGCAACTCGTCTTGGTTATTCTGGCCTGAAAATACCTCCAGGGAACCCCAAGGCTTTCGAGCCAACCCCACCTCCCAGGGTCGGAAACCTCCTCTTGTTGCCTTGCTGACCAGAGAGAACAGGCTTTTCCCCCCACCGACAGGTGTGTCCGGATGGCCGCCTGGTGGGCGGCCGCCGCCGCCGCCTCCGCCACCTCCAGGGCGGCCGCCGGGATGGGTCGCCTTCGGCAGACGCCGGGAGTGGCGGCCTCCCGCGGCGTCCCCCACCTTACACGTCCAGGACGTGGTTGAGATAGGAGATGTAACAGATGGCCAGGCGCAGGATCTCGATCTTCGAGAGCTTCTTGTCGGGGGGCAGCGTGGGCAGCAGTTTGCGGAGCTCGGCGAAGGCCAGGTTGAAGGCCTCCACGCGGATGCGCTCGCGGGTGGCGTGGGCCGAGCGGTATTTGGCCGTGGCGCGACGGCGGCGGCGCTTCTCCTCTCGGCTCAGCTGCTGCGGGTGCGGATAGAGAGCTGCCCTGCTGCCGCCCTTGCCGTCGGCCTCTGCGTCCTCCACCGGCTCCAGGTCCGACACGCTGCCCAGCACCTTGGCGTCTGCGCCGCCCAGAGACTCCGGGTCCGAGTGCGCCGAGCTGGGATGATCCGAGTCCGCGGCTTGGTCCGGACTCAGCATCATTTTGGAGGCTGACGGGGAGTTAGAAAACAAGTCAGTAAGAGGAATCCCACCCTTCATTTGCAATGCGGAGTGGCGCTGCCTGCCCCGCTGGAAGACGTGCGTCCTCGGGTCCCCTCCACTCACCCGGACCACACGGGTGGGAAGGCAGGGCTGGGAGAGGAGATGCCCAAATGCGCCTCCCCACCGCGGAGCTGGCCGGGTCTCAGCGGGGTCCCGATGCCATCCCCGACGCTAAAGCCTGCAGGTGACCGAGACAGGCGTTGGCCCTGAGCCTCGGGAACCACCGTAGGTAGGGCCTGCTGGGCCGGCTGGCATCTTGTGCCTCCTCTGGCCAAGCGTCAGCTGCTCCATTCAGCCTCCCTCGCTCCATCCCCTTCCCAGACAGCCGAATGAGCCCGAAGGACGGATGCATTAGGGTTTTAAAAGAGATGCAGAGGGTGCCTCCTGCCCGAGGGTCTGGAGCAGCTGAGGACTCCAAGTTCCCCTGGCTCGGGGCTGCGCTGGGGAGCGGGGAAACCCCATCTTGCAGAGTAGGCCGGAGACAGATTTCCGTGTCCCCCTTACTCTCCTCCGAAATAATAAAGAAATGACCGAACGAATGTGTAGATTCCTTTCAAAAGAAAATTGACTCCTCGCAAGCTCCCGGAGCACCATCTGTCACGCAGACTGCCACACACATTGGAAACCTAGGGACGTGGTAACACAATGCCCGGCAACCTCCCAACCACCTCAGGGGAAATGCTGGCAGCGGGGTTCCTGCGGGCGGAGAGAGGCTGGGAAGGGAAAGGATGGACCCGGGAGGCACCGCTGCAGGGCGGGATGCCGCGGAGCAGGCTACATCTCTGCAGGCGAAGTTCCGGAGCTGGGGGGGACCGGAGCTCGGCTGTGCACAGCTGGCCCCGGGAGGCCTGGCCAAGGCCGCTCGCGTATGCGCTTAGCATTCTTCTGATGATGCCCTCCTCCTCCGGTTGCTCTCGGGCGCCAGGATCGAGGGCCCGGACCGCGCCTTCGGTACCGTTGGGCTTCGGGGGAATCGGAGCCAGCCACAGGGAACTTGCCCCAGATGAGCGCCAGGGCCTCCGCCGCCTGGAGAGACCACCTGCTTGCCCACCCTGGGACCCGGCGTGTGTCTCCCAGGGCACTCTCGGAGCTGAAGAAAGCTGCTTGGGCGATGGGGAAGAGGAGCTAGCTCCAGAGAAACAAAAGCCTGGGGATGCTGGATCAGGCCCGGTCAGGGCACTTGCCAACTAGCAAACTGGGCTCCCAAACAGCTTTCGTCTCCGCTCAAGGAAAACAGATCCTCTAAGGCAAAATAACAACAAACGCTCCCAGTGAATCACAGGTGACTGACTCCCTACGGGCTTTTCCTCCGGTACGTTTATAAGTAAAACAACTTGCACCTACGCAGTCGGCGTGAGGGGCAGAAATACACAGGGAGTAACGGAAAACACCAAACCGCGACATAGTTATAGGTCGGACAAAAAGTTCCCGGGTTGCCCTCCAAGCATGCTAAATTCTGCTCCAGATATTTAAATATTCATAAATAGTATTTCGTGTGGACACCGATGTCTATAACTAAAAGTTAAAATACATCTATAAATGCAGTACGAATGAACTTAATTTCAAGAGAAATAAATAATTTAAAGGAGTCTTACCTTGCAAAAACCCTTTCAATAATCTTTCCGCCAATCTTTTAGAGTTAAAATTCCAGAGAACAAGGAGGAGAAATTCCGGAAAATATTAAAAGCAGCCAATATTGATGACATTCAAAAATGAAAAAGCAGCCGTCATCTCGCTGATGGCCTTGGTGAGGGACCGTGTTTCAGGAACTGAATGATTTGAGGGTTCACTGAGTGGGTAGATCAAAAATGCCTTTTCCTTTTAATTGTTCTTAAACATTTCGAAAAATTTGTTGTTGATCTTTTTAAAAGGAAGTGTTAAAGTCTCGCGCTTCGCCCCCTCTCCTCGGGCTCTATAAATAACAAAAGAGATGTTGAGATAAACACAATCACATCAAAGAGCTGATGCCTCCACTTTCTAATAGCGGAATAATCAATAAGAAAGATGGTTAAGATAAGATTCCGCTCCTAGAGGATTCCTTCCCTTCCCTTAAGCAGGCTGGGGTGAAACTGGGAAGTACAGGGCAGAGATGTGATCTAGCTCAGAAGTGATTTTTCCCCCCAGATAAGGCTTTGTTCAGCCGTTGTCTCCCCAGATCCCAGGAACACAATACAGCAACTCCGGGCCAAGGTTGCCTCTTCCTTGTCCTTATTTACTTGTACGTTGCATAAACAGGCTCCTATTTTCCAGTTTCAAAGTCTTTCAAAGGCTTGGTTCACCCCCACCCTCACCCTCCACCCTCCTCTCTTTACCTTGTAGTAAAATATATATAGTCAGTTGCCTGGAGATGCTTGGAGAAAGGTTGGTGAAAAGTGAACGTCTTCTGGTGTAACGGTGCCGGGAACGCAGAGAAAGACCTTAGAGGGTGGGAGAGCCAGAGCAAAGAGGCAGAGCTGCCTGTGCGGCTTCTTGGCTTTCCTTGAACCAATTGATTCAGCCTGGAGATGGTGGAAGAGATAAAGGCTTAAGAAGGGGGATGGAATTTTTTTCCCCCTAAATTGATATTTAATGGGAAATCCTATTGGACAGAAACCTGGACATGAGTCACTTAATTGGACTTGACATCTGTCACAGTGTGGGAGTTTTCACAGCCCAAATATTTTAGCAGATCAGATTCCCACTGAATCTGTGCCATAAAATACAGCAGTTGAAAGCAGCCCGTGATAGAAACCATAGCCACTAAACTGAACGTCTAGCCACAACCTGCGACTTCTTTTCAGATTATTGATGCACTAAGTGGAAGTAAATAATTATTAGCATGGAAAATTCCTCTGGCATTTTATAAAGCCAGTATCTTTCATTAATGTTTAAGAAAATATTTGTACCTAGCACATGGAAATAGTAAGAAGCTGCAATTAACTTGAAGTATCCAGATATGCAACTGCTAACATTTGCTAGAGATTGCTTTGTATGTTAAAAGACACTTCAACAGTGTTTATTAAGAATATTGATACTTTGGAGAAATATCCTGTTATGAGGAAAACTTATAATAGATTATTTCTTAAAAATCTTTCGGCACATTAATTTAAATCATCAGTAGAATTAAGAACAGAAACCAAGTAGTTAGGGGCCGCTAGGTAAGGCAGTTCTCCTTTTCCGATTATGTTTGTTTTGTTCTTCACGTGCCCATTCATTCATTCGTTCTTTCATTCATTCAACTAAAAATAAGACACACTGTATGTATCAATTATTGTACTCCCTCTTTACTCATCTTAACATGTGAGTGAATAGCTGTGTGGCAGTGCATTGTGCTAGAATGTAAACAAACACAAACCAAGGAGAATTACAGTACATAATGCCTTTGGCTTATGTGACCCCCAGCCCTGAATTTACATACTTTTTGTTGTTGGTGGTTTTTTGAGACAGGGTCTCCCTGTATCCCCAGCTGGCCTGGGACTCTCTATGTAGACCAGGCTGGCCTTCATCTCAGAGATCCACCTGCCTCTGCCTCTGGAGTGCTGGGATTAAAGGTGTGTGCCACCACACCCAGCTGAATTTAGGTATTATATAACCAAGGAGAAGTCTAGTTTGTTATTTTGCCACTTTATCGAGTACTCTCAGTCACCACACATTACATATTATTAACAATCAATTACATTTTGTTAGTGATACCATCAATTACATCTTGTCCTTTTATTGGTCAAGCTTAAAAGACATAATAAGAGAATTGCAGCCTTACTCCCACCTCTCCAGTTCCTGGGGGAATGTTTGTGGAGAGGAGTGTCTTCACTTTCTTTCCTTTATCAGTTTTGCCCTATAAAGAGGTTTTTCTCTTTAGGGAAGGGGCATGGAGCCACCCACCCTGAGAGTGGCCCTCGGGTCACCGGCTGCCTCAGGGACTGTTTGCCTTTACATGAATTTGCTCTGGGGAAGTTCTGAGCTACAAGGAAGCTGGGTTGAAAGAGAAGGCAATGAGTTCAAGAAATATGGACTTGCCCCCACCCAGCCTTAGCACAGAAGTATTTTAGATACCCCCAGGACATTCAGCTGGAGGCAGAAGCCAGCCTTGTCCAGGTGGCAATGGAAACCCGTGAATAGAAAAATTCTCTCCCACCTGAGGTAGGGGGGATAGTGAAGATGAATGGAGAAAAAGGAGGTGTCCCAGTCCAGCTTGGAGCAGCCAACACTAAGCACTAACACACACCAGAAGTGTGCACACAGATGCTCATTCATAGATACCTGTGCCTCCTCACCCTCCAGCACTCATGAGCTGCCTGGCTCAATTAGACAGTGACAGATTTGGACAGATGGACTGAAAACTGTGGTGGGTTTACTCAACTGTGCTCTAGAAAGCACAGCTGTTGGTATAGGAAGTGACCAGTGTCCCTGGTTACTCTAGTGTTCCAGCCACCATGCCCCCCTTCCATGACAGACTGTAATTCCCCTGGAACCGTAAGCTCAAATAAACTCTTCCTTCTATAAATTGCTTGGGTCAGTGTTTCTACCACAGCAACGGAAAAGTGACTAATACAGTTGGCTTGATTTTGCTACGGTTTGTGTGAATCTAGACAAATTCTCTTTTGCAGCCAGGCCACTGATGGCTTGAACATTCAGAAATTAATACAAAATTAAGGCGATATGGAAACACTTCAGATCAATACACAACTATGTCTACACACAGCATCATAGGCAGAAACATGAATTCATACTCATATGCATTCTCTCCTATCAGAAAGCTCCCCTCCCCCACCACCTTTGCCTTTGTGGAGACATTGAAGGCACAGAGGTGCCTTCAGTCTGTGCCCATAAGCATCCTTTCATATCTCCCTTGGAGACTATATATTGTGCACTATGATTCTTGGTATCCATAGCTGTCTCTCCCACTAGGCTGTGATACTTTCAGAAAACATCTATATCCCCAGTTCTCCTGTGTGCTTGACACATATGTGCTCAGTCTGTTTGTAGTGAGTAACTTCCTGCATACAGAGGCTCTGTCGAAATTGGTAACAGAAACGCTTCCACCCAAAGACATATTCTGTCATTTGGATGAGTTTTCTGTTCTTTTAAAAAGTTATTTTATGTGTGTGAGTGTTTTGCCTGAATGTTTTCAATGACCATAGAGGCCAGAAGAGGGCAACCGATCCCCTGGAAGTAGAGTTATAGATGGTTGTTTGTTGCCATGTGGATGCTAAGAACCAAACATAGGTCCTCTGCAAGAGCATAGAGTGCTCTTAACTACTGAGCCATCTCTCTAGCCCCAAGTTTTCTGTTCTTAAAAATGAGTGTAATAGCCCTATATTTCTCTCTGAATCTATTTGCTATAAGAGTCAGTGGATGTGCAAGTATTTGATAAATATTAAGCATCATGCAAATCAATATATTCTAAGTGTAAAGGTAATACTAAACAGTATTAAAGCAATATAGACATGATAGACATGATTTAGAAACCAGGCTTCTTGGGGCAAGAGAAATGGCTCAGCAGTTAAGAGCACTGACAACTCTTGCAGAGGACCTGGGTTCAAATCCCAGCACCCACATGATGGCTAACAACCATCCATAACTCCAGTTTCAGGGGATCCAACACCCTTTTCTGACTTCCTTGGGCATGACATGACATGGGTGCACTTACACACATGCAGGCAATGCACTCATACACATAAAATAAAAATAATTTAAAAAATGAGACTGATGGAAGTATGGTAGGCTATGCTACATTATTATGTTATGTATATGTTTTTTTCCAAAAATAAAACTAAGGGCTGGAGAGATGGCTCAGTGGTTAAGTATGCTGACTGTTCTTGCAGAAGACCTGGGTTCGAATCCCAGCACCCACATGGCAGCTAACAACTGTCTATAACTCCTCCAGTTCCAGGGGATTTGACAGCCTGTTCTGTCCTCTGTGGACATTGCACGACATAAGTGCACTTACCTACA